TATCATTGTGGGAAAATTCTACTACCAGTCCTTCATCACCTTACACGAAATAGGGTGAATACATCTAATCAAGACTTGCTAGACCACTTCCCGCTCCCTTTTTCTCTCATTCCTTTGAGAAATGCAACTTTTAGTACACCTTCACCTTAGGTAACCTGAGTTCTTATATGTAATTTAGGCGCACAAGGACATGTGGAATACAAGGTTAAGCATTGAATAAGACTAGGAACCAGCATTGATTTGAATAAAGAATAAAATATCTTATTTTAAATCAAAGTATTGCTGATGCGTGTAAGAATAAAATTGGAAAATGAAATCCGGCAGGCTAATTAAACAATGATGTCAACATGTTAACATCAAAAACTAGTATGAACAATAACATAGTTAAGAAATAAATTTAAAAGACAGCAGATCAAAATGTTATAGGATTCAAATAAAAACTAATCAATCAAAGATGATTTTTGCATAAGGTGAAACTCACATCTAAATTAAATTGCTTTATAATTAATAATATAAAAATGAGCTTTATTTCCTTACATACAATATTGAGGGCATAAATATATTTCTAAAATTAAAATAAGCACTTCATTTGCACATTCATATTTAATTGCAAAATTTGATGAATTGCATAATATAGATACGATGTAGATTATACCACCTATGAAGATGCTCCAAAGAAGGTTATAAACGAAATTATGACGTGAGGTGGGAGTATATAGGTGTTCAAAATGATGATAAGGATAAAATATTATGGTTAACAAATTAGTATTTAAAAGCAGTTTCAGAACTTAAGGAATGATGCATATAAAATATAGAATCTTTTCTATACATTATTATGTGAAACGGCCCACTTACTAATCCCAGAACGACCTCCATCTTGACAAAAACGCTCAGCAATGCGACCCAACTGTCCTTGTTCAGCGGAACCCATGGTGTATAAGCGTCCATCTTCTGACAAGCAGACAAGATGATCTTGGCCAGAAGTGATCTTTACGATACGTTCGCTCTGAGGGATTTGAGCATCAATGTTGTTAGCAATCACATTTCTATGAAGGGGACGTCGGGAACCTTCAGTTTGAATCTGCAAACGTTTGGGAAAGCGACAGATCTCGCCAGGCTCAAGCAGTCCAATTGGGCCACTAGAACCCCGAAATGTACCCCAAAGCCAAACACCACCATGGTCATCTAAAGCAGAAGTGTGACTGTCTCCAGCAGAAACCTATTTTTAAGATATTATAGGTTAAATTATCAATATAAAGCATTATAAAAAAATATAATACGAATATATATATATGTATGTATTTTGCTATGGACTTCTGAATGATGTATTTGGTTTACCAATTTAAAAAATAAGTAAGTGATGAAGACTAAATAACACTGTAAAGAGTGAATTTACCATAACTATCTTAATTTTGAAAGGGAAGTGAACAACTCCAGGCCTTGACTCTTCTAAAACTTTCATATTTGAGAGCACAGCGGAACTCAGCCCCAACGAGTTATACTTCTCATCGTCTAATTTTTTTTTTTTTTTAGGACGATTTTTGTTTTCTTTTGATTTTGTATGTACTTCGTCTTTTGAGTATTTATCATGCCCCTCTGATGTGACTCGTCCAAGGGCTCCCTCGTCGTTGCAACCGAATGTAAATACGAAGTTTGGCGATTTCATCAAAGCTACTGTGTGCATTCCACCTGCACAAATCTGAACGAATCCATTAGCAAGTTTATCGTTTTCATTTAGGAGTCCTGTGGCTTCTTCTAAACTTGAAGCTGGTAATTTGGCAGGCCTGGTACGTTCAGTTAGATCAGGCCCTAGACCGAGCTGACCTGTATCGCCAACGCCTAGAGTAAGGACAAGACTCTCTGTATCAAATGGAATCGATGCAAATGCCTTCTGATATGGCAAAGCGTGGTCATCGACGGAAACGAACTCGACTGGAAGAAAATGTTGGGAGTGGGAAATCAACAGCAAGAAAATTATCAAGTTAATTTAAGAACTCCAAAAACGCGTATAAAGGCGTGTAACTATTGAATTAAAAGAAAAAAAGAATAAGTTTTCATTATTTATTTAATAAAATACCCTTTATTCGCTTCGTTTGGGGCTGTCCATTAGCAATGGGATTTCTGCCGAGACGCTTAGGAGGCATTTTAATCCTGCAGAAACCCAGCTAAATCAAAGTGTTAAGAAAAAGTAGGTATGTTATCAATTTTTTCCTGGCAAGATAGATAAAATTAATGTAAGAGCAAATACCTCAAACTTTGTCTATAAGTTCACAATTACCTGCAGACAAGAGCGTGAAGAGTATCGAATAGCGAGCGGCAGAAGAAACAGCCAAGCCCTAATTGACTCACCGGCACCGCTATATTGATTGGTAATTAATTACATTTATGTAATTACCATTTCAATTTGTTTATTTATATATTTTTGTTACCTAAATATGCTTGTTTGTATTTCAATTTCATTTTACAAATATGTTTCCAATTTTTAATGAAAGAAATATTCCAATTATGTCACAATCCTAGCTTTATACTGTTTTTACCACCCCACCCATTTGATATTACTAGGTCTGCTTTTTATGTGGGATGATCAAGCACTTCCCCGGCTCTGCAAGTTTATTTGAAGACCTTGGAAGTTTGTAAATGCAACTGAGATACATATTTTAGAATGTCTTTTGATAAAATTGCGTGGGGGTCATGTCTACATTGGTTGTCTCAAGATGGTTGATCAATTTGGTAACATCTCATTTCCACTAATTCAACCTTAGGTAACATTGCACTCCATAATACGATTGAACGCATATATGTCAAAGATAAGTTTTGCGATATTCACAGGGGGATTATGTTGATACGAGGGGATAGCATCATCATTATTGGTGAAATGGTTAGATGCAATTCATTATTTTTCGTTATCCGTCGTTATGTTATTAATGCTGCCTTTAAATATTCCTAGAATAGTCCCGCTTTATAATGGTGATTAATACATGCCCTATTTTTTGTATGCATAAATATGTATA